TTTGTCCTTTATCATAATGTATAATGTGTTTTAATTTGCCTATGATATTGTCTTGTGATAATTTGTATTATGTAAACCGCTTTGAGTCGCCTAAGGGCTGAGAAAAGCGGTATAGAAATAAATAAATAAATAACTAAATAACTAAATAAATAAATAAATAAATTGTCTTTCTATAGATGCAGGAAAGCAGTTTGTGTGCTCAGGAAATACAGGTTAATGAATGAGCACATCTACTTTCAGAAGATTATGACTTGTGAATAAAACTTTACCTATTACTTATTAGTAAAACACTCTCTGTACACCACCACAAACCAGGCTTCCTCAGCAATAGTACTGTATAACATTTATATATCCCCAATCCTCTTATATTTTCCACTCCTCTTAATGTTCCCTCAGCAACAGCAAGAGTATCCCTCTGGGCAGCTAAACCAGGAAATCCCAAATGGTTGGCCCCCCACGAAGGTCTGCCTCCATGGGCAATCCAAGAATGGGCAACTTAGAAGTCCCTGAACAGATTCAGAAGTGGAGTGGACTGATCAAAAGACAACCTGGCAAAATGGCACTACCTAAAACAGTGGTTCCCAACCTGTGGTCCACAACACAGCAGTGGGCTGCGAAAACAAAAATCCACTCCCCAAACCTCCTTCCTCTTTGTCCCTGGTCAAGTGGTCCCTGGTCAAAGTGGGCCCTGGTGAAGTGGGCCCTGGTCAAAAAAAAAAAAGGTTGGGAACCACTGACCTAAAATAATCCTCCACCTTGTGCAACTGTGGAGCAGAACAGACAATGCCACATCTGTATGCTTGTCTGCAATGTCCTGCCTCATGTACAGAGGAAGAATTGTTTGAGGCTACAGACAATTCGGTCACTGGTGCCCATTTTTGGTCAAAATATATTTAACTGCTTGTGCTCCTTCTGTTTTCATCTGTTTTATAACAATGTATGCAATGCTTTTGATATGAAATAATTAAAATCCCTAATCCTTATTTTTCTACAAATATTGCCAGATATTCATGAGATGGCTGCCATTTCGATAAGAATACAATTGAGCCATGCATCGACTGCTGAAGGCTACAAATTTCTATGGGTTTAGATGTATTGGTCTCAGTGCTGATTGTAGCATCTGATTTTGAATCTATTTCAATTTTTAGTACTATTTATTAAGTTTTTGAACATACATAAAATAAAAAGTATCTTTGGATTTTTGAGAAGCTATCCATTAATATATTTTTTCCAATTTGTAGCCACCAGGCGAAAATAATTTTACATGCAAAACTGTTAGACATCAATAGAGATTATATGGGCATCTAGGTGATAATTGGAACGCTCTGTCGCAGCACATTCCAGGTGAATTAAATAATTTATCATCTTATTTTTCTTCATAAAGATGTACTGCATAATTTTTATTAGAAGATTTATAAAGACAGCGCATATCATATCTCAAATGAAGAAAGTGGCTCAAGAGGCCCATTCTTAGCTCACCAAATGCCTATTGAGGAACTTGGAGCACTGATTTGCCAAAACATTTCAATTCTTTTTTGTCGTTTCATTTTGAGAATACATTATTCACAACAGCTTAAGTTTGGGAACAAAGCTGATCTGTGAATAGCGTGATACTTTTGTTCTTAGAATAATTTGCCTTTGCATATATTTCCAATATCATTTACAGTTTCAGGAAGGAAATTTGATGTAACTTTATAGACTCGGTGGTAATAAATTTAGGCAGTGTGTAATTCTTTTAGAAGTTTTTTTAGTCTCTTGATTATACACAGTGAAGGAATTATGTTTTTAATTTGATTTTACTCCAACTCTTTCTTTATTTCTTTTTCTTTCATTCTTTCTGCTCATGGCAGAAGTTTGTAGAATAGTGCATCTATTAGTTTTTCTTTTCACTAGTTGTTTTAACCAATTTGTAAAACAATACAATTAAATGTTTTGAAGCACAATCAAATACATGTCCATTTGGAAGTAAACACCACTGGCTTCCTGGGGTCTTATTCCTAAATAAGTAGATATAGCACTGTAGAGTTGTAGCATTAAAAGAGTTATAGTTGGGTTTTCTTTTGTGTCAGGAGTGACTTGAGAAACTGCAAGTCCCTTCTGGTGTGAAAGAATTGGCTGTCTCCAAGGACGTTGCCCAGGGGACGCCAGGAACTTGAGAAACTGCAAGTCCCTTCTGGTGTGAAAGAATTGGCTGTCTCCAAGGACGTTGCCCAGGGGACGCCAGGATGTTTTTTTTATATTTTACTATCCTTGTGGGCAGAGGCGGCCCTAGGTAATTTTCAACGGTAAGCAAACAGTATTTTGCCCCCCCCCCCCCCACCAATCATTGATATATATTTTCTGTTTGTCGTGGGAGTTCTGTGTGCCATATTTGGTTCAATTACATCATTGGTGAAGACTCCGGCGTGTGCACCAAAAGTCACCTCCTGACTTTCTCCTCAGCCATTGGGACCAAGAGAGAGAGAGAGAGAGAGAGGTGGAGATGCCCACCTTTCCTGAAGGTAGGCGCAAAAACAAAGGAGGGAGCGGAGGTGGGAGATACCTCCAGCCAGAGGGGCTCTCTCTCTCTCTCTCTCTCTCTTGGTCCCAATGGCTGAAGAGAAAGTCAGGAGAAGAGGCGACTTTTGGTGTGCACGCTGGGGTCTTCAGACACACCTCCGGACCCGAAGCGGGCCAGGCGCGGCGGCTCCGCCCCTTGGCCCACCCACGGATTGGGGAGAGGAGAGGAGGCGGATGGAGCACCGGGGATCGGGAAAGGGAGCCGGTCATGGAGAAGGGATCGAACGCGGAGAACGATTGAGCGCCGGCTCTGCTCGCGCACCCGGTGGCCGGGTGGAGCAGGAACGAGAGGGGCTAGGCGAGGCTCAAGGGCCCGGCCCCTTTGGGAAGAGGATCGCCCGGCAGCGAGGCAAGAAAGCTGAGGCTCCCCCTGGACTGCTAGGGCTGTTGTGAGCTGAGGGGGTGCTCCTCAAGTGGCGGTCGAGGGGCATTTACAGAGGCGCCTCTGCGCCCCTGGCAAAAAAAAAGTGTTCTGCGACCGCTAACTTCGCATAATGGATGAGCCGCCCCTGCTTGTGGGAGGCTTCTCTCATGTCCCCACATGGGGAGCTTGAGCTGACAGAGGGAACTCAACCTGCTTTTCCTGGATTTGAACCGCTGACCTGTTGGTGAGCAGTCCTGCCGGCACAAGTGTTTAACCCATTGTTGACTAGACAAGGGTACAGGGATGGTGCATATTAGTGGAGGTATTGATTTCATAGTTAAGACAACAAGAAATCCCGCCATAGTTCAATGAAGACTGAAAGGAGAGGAAAACGTTGAAAGAAAACATCCAGGTTAGGAGTAGTTGCTGAAAAGATGCTTGTATGATTCCATAGCATTGGTCTATGGCAGTTAAAGTAGTGTCAGACTGCATTAATTCTATAATATAGATGCACCTGAGTTACAAGTGGATAGAGTCAATCAACAAAGTCAAAGCCTGAGCTTGCAGGATCTGACCAAGTTGCGGAATGCTGATAACAGAGTGACTTCCTCACCATTGCGAGATCACTAGGATGAGACCTTATGTGTTTGCACATGAGCGGCTCTTACACTTTCTGTTGATGCTGAGCAATTCTACTTTTAATAAATACAGGTATCTGACATCATCCCTTAATAATTAACCATATTCAACAAGGGAGTTTTCCTATTCATTGAAAATGCTTTTATAAAGAAGTCAGTTACTTTAAAACTACAGTAGGGGAAGAAAAGTTCAAATCCTCCTTCTCAGCTATTGTAGTCCCAATTATTAGAAAGCTTCTCCCTATAACTGTAATTTTAATTTTGAAATATATGTGTTAAATGCAAAGACACATTAGGCTCCATAATGGCTATATTTTATTTATTTATTTATTTACTATATTTACTATAACCAACTGCACCCCCAGTGGCACAGTGGGTTAAACCGCTAAGCTGCTGAATTTGTTGACTGAAAGGTCATCGGTTCGAATCTGGGGAGCAGGGTGAGCTCCTGCTGTTAGCCCTAGATTCTGCCAACCTAGTAGTTTGAAAACATGCAAATGTGAGTAGATCAATAGGTACCGCTCTGGCGGGAAGGTAACGGTGCTCCATGCAGTCATGCTGGCCACATGACCTTGGAGGTGTCTATGGACAACACTGGCTCTTCAGCTTAGAAATGGAGATGAGCACCAACCCCCAGAGTTGGACATGACTGGACTTAATGTCAGGGGAAAACCTTTACCTTTTACCTATATTTATATCTTGCCTTATCGGAGCCCCCGGTGACACAGTGGGTTAAAGCTCTGTGCCGGCAGGACTGTGCCGGCTGTAACGTGTTGATGTGAAATGCGAACGTAATGAGAAATAACAAAAGTCTTGGAAATTGTATGTTATTATCTTACAAATGAAAAGATAAATGAAAGGTTTTCATAAGATATGTTGTGTCCCCATACATTTCATTATTACAATTTACATATGCATCTGTATCTCTTACAAGGGGTTGGTTTAACCTCAGTTTGTTAGTAAAACTGAATTACAATGTTGTGGAGTGATGCATGTCTAAAAGTATGTCACCAATATGAATTATTTAGAAAGCTCTGACCTACACCATTGTTTCTTAGTAAGTGCAACTCTGTCCATACAAGATGCCTGAGCGTTTTCCAGCAACACTTCAATAACTTCATATTTGTTTGAGTGGCACTGAATATATTTGAATTGGACAGCCTTCTATGTAGGTTCTGGATCACAACTCCCATCAATGTATAGAAGGGGTTGGTTGGGCTTAATAATTGTCTGAATGTTGCAGCAGTTTCTTTCAGCATGTTATGCATTGTTTCTTTTTTATTTTGCTTCCTCCTCCCTTGTTTTTAATTGTCATTAAGCTGTCATATGCCTGTAAGATCAAGTTAGAACCTGTATCTCTTGGAATGAATATAAAGATGGAATCCATCAGTATCTTGGTTGCTTCAAATGCTTGCCAACCGCTTTGCTTTTGCTTCCAGGGCTGTGACTCCCAAATGAGCATGTCAGAAATGTCCTGCAGTGAAAGTACCTCCTCTTGTCAGTCTCTGGCACACGGCTCAGCTCCAGAAATCCTCGTCGGGCTGCTTTATAATGCCACAACTGGAAGACTAGCAGCAGAAGTGATAAAAGGCAGCCACTTCAAAAACTTGGCAGCAAACAGACCACCCAGTGAGTGGAATAATTTTTTTTATCCTAATACTTCTGCACTTGGGGGGATTTCACTGGTGGGGACTTCAATCCTATCACTTAGTCTTACCCCAGTCAAACTGAAATAGTGCAATCATCAGCTAATCTGTTTCATGTTTTCTATTCTCAGTCATTGGGGAAACAGAAGAAATCTAAAATTCAAAATATCGGTTGTGATTTGACAAGTTCCTTTTTAATTTTTCATGACTGACTGACTAATAAATTGCCTTTATCTTAATGATTAATTACTAAACTATTAATGCTTCACACCACAGAGCCAATATAAAAAGTGCTGTTTTTTATGTGTGCCGTAGAATGTTTATGTAAATGCGTCGAGGTTGCTTTAAGGGTATTCGTATAAGAGTTTCGAGGCATGTGAGAGTTTAAGTGAGATCGACATGTATAATTTAGATTTGATATTCCCAGTGGTGGTATAAAAATATTATTCCTGATATCCGGTATCAAGTATATGGTATTCCCTGTGTGTGCGTGATTCAAAAATGTAATCAAATAATAAGATGGAGATAAAAAACATTTTTGTGGACTTGTAGAGGTTAGATTACTGAAAACATTTAGGGATCAGATGAACATGATCGTAGTTCTGAAATATATCCCCTGGGAGCTGTATCTATAAGATCTGGTTTAGAAAAGTGGTCTGTTACAAAAATTCACAGTAGTACTTGGACTCTGAGGGAGCTAGCAAAAAAACTAAGCTTCAAATGCAACAGGAGCTGTTGCCATGTATTAATATTTAGGTACATTCGCTATGCCAATTTGTTAACACACACATACACACCCCAGTCAGTAGTAGCATATGATTTGTGGTCAGGGATTCAAGTAACAACTGTCTAGATATCATGAATCATAGAATCATAGAGTTGGAAGACACCTTGTGAGCCATTTAGTACAACCCCCTGCCAAGAAGGAGGAAAATCACATTCAAAGCACCCCCTGACAGATGGCCATCAAGTCTTTGTTTAAAAGCCTCCAAAGAGGGAGCCTCCACCACACTCCGGGGCAGAGAGTTCCACTGCTGAACAGCTCTCACAGTTAGGAAGTTCTTCCTAATGTTCAGGTGGAATCTCCTTTCTTGTAATTTGAAGCCATTGTTCCACATCCTAGGCTCCAGGGCAACAGAAAACAAGCCTGTCCCCTCCTCCCTATGACTTCCCCTCACATATTTATTTATACATGGCCATCATGTCTTCTCACAGCCTTTTCTTCTTCAGGCTAAACATGCCCAGCTCTTTAAGTTGCTCCTTATAAGGCTTGTTCTCAAGACCTTTGATCATTTTAGTCATCCTCCTCTGGACACAGTCCAGGTTGTCAGCATCTCCCTTCAATTGTGGTGCCTTCAATTGTGGTGCTCCTTACAGTTGCGGTGTCCAGTATTCCAGGTTTGGTCTGACCAAGGCAGAATAGAGGGGAAGCATGACTTCACTGGATCTAGCCACTATACTTCTATTTATGCAAGCCAAAATCCTATTGGTTTTTTTAGCTGCTGCATGACACCTTTTTCACACGTACTGCTGTTGAGCCAGGCATCCCCCATTCTGTATCTTTGCATTTAATTTTTTTCTTACTAACAGGAGTATCTTGCATTTGTCCCTGCTGAACAGAAACCCCTTGTCCTTGAATACACCCCACTCATTCAGACTATAGCTTCACACAGTAAGCCTAAACACTTTTGTTTTCCACTGCAGTCCATCTCAAAATGGTGAGAAGAAAGTAACTTCATGTCACCATTTTGAGAAGGAAAGCAGAAGAAACCTGTCCAAACGTATTCTCCCCTATGAACCATCAAGGCTATTAAGATCTTCCGGTGGGGCCCTGCTCTCAGTCCTGCCACTTTCGCAATCGCGTCTGGCAGGAATGAGAGACAGGGCCTTTTCTGTGGTGGCCTCTCAGCTATGGAACTCCCGATTGAGATTAGATCTGCCCCCTTCCTCCTGTCCTTCAGGAGGCTAGTAAAATCCTGGCTATGGAATGAAGCATTCCCAGAATAATGGCTGAGACCAGCTACAGAACAAAGTTATCGACCACACGTACAGACTGAGTTGGACATGATTTTATCTTGGTGATTTGGCTTATATGTAATTTATTCTATATGTATTTTAAACCTGTTGTTGTTGTATTATGTTTGTAGGCTGTATTATTAGTATTGAATCCTTGCTATGAGCTGGTCTGAGTCCCTCTACGGAGGTAGAGAAGATTGGGATATAAAAGTTTTAAATAAATAAATAAATAAATAACAAACACAGATCTATTTTTTGCATTTGGCAGCCTTCCTGCATGGTTCTGAGGGGGGAAATTGCCTGTGGGTTGGCTGGGCTTCAGAGGCCACAAAAATGGGGTTCCGGGATTGCAACCAGCACCCTGGATAAAAATCAGACACACAGTATCCATTTTCAGCACTTTTCCTTTGTAGAGCATAGCCTCCAGTTCTCCTCTAAAAGGTATGCTCAGGTCTTAAACATAGTTGTTCATCTTCTTCGATAATAGCATCGTTCATATGTAGCTTAGAAACAAACTTTTATTCTCACTCTGTGGTTAGTAGGCACTCAAACATTAATTCATCCTAGCATTGGGCTATCAAATTTCCATTATCACCATAATATGTGGAGAGATCTCTAATGCTTCTTTCTTCAGTTGTAATCCCAACAAAGAAGCCACAAATCTACATGCTAGAATTAGTTGTTGGAAAAAGGCTCCCATTGGTTCCAAAGCTAACTGGAGAATGGGATATAATGTTCAACAGAATTGTGGCTGGGAAGGGAAAAATCTCTTTTGCCCCATGGTACAATCTTAATGAAGATCACCTTTGCTTTGCTTGAATTGGTTATTAAGAACACAAATCACAGAATTAATGTTTTGCCCTTAGAAATGCATCCTAGTTCATTAATCACAACCACACAAGGTAATTTTTAAGTGTTTAAATATCCTCAATTGAAGTAAATTTAATTGACAGCTGAATAAATAGCTAACTAGTATCACTGTCTACATCAGGATAGGCAAAATGTGTCCCTAGAGCTGTTTTCTCTGGTAACTGGTTCTTCCAAATTCCCAGGGATGAGTGTCCCAGGAATGGATGATGATGATATTTTGTGCCACCCTGTATCATGATGTCTCAGGGATTGATTCAGGCAAAATTGGTATTGATAGATTGAATTAATGTAAAACAATAGAAAATAATTTAAAGAGACTAAAAATACTATATTAAATAAATGGACAAATTAAAATAGGTTAAAACCTATTAAAAAAACTTGTGCATACATTCTTTGGAGTGAATCAGTTAGATCAAATATGGGCATACTTGGGCCCTCTAGGTGTTTTGGACTTCAACTCACACAATTCCTAACAGCCTACCGGCTGTTAGGAATTGAAGTCCAAAACATCTGGAGGGCTCAGGTTTGCCCATCCCTGAATTAGACTCTATAGTAAACAGCCATTTAAAAAATTGTGGTTTCCAAAGGGAGAACATTCAACAATTGGGGTGCCATAGTTGAGAAAACCCTCCTCCATGTCTTCACATAGCATATTTCCCTCATTGGTGGGAACACAGTAGAGGACCTCTCTGGAAGACCTCAATCTTCTGGCTGGCTGAAGGTGTTCCTTCAAGTACCTTCAAGCATTGTCTTTTCCTGAAGCTTCCAAGAATTATGATTCGCCTTTTATACATACACTGACAAACATTCTTAAGAGTTCTGAAACTAAAAGTGGACCTCTGTTCTCCAGAATATGCAGGGCAGTTACTCTATTTATTGGAGTCCAATTGCATTTACATGCACACATCTTTGCTCATACTGAATTGACATGAATCAAGCAGTCCATGCATGGATATGTTATCAGTGTGCATCCAATATTTATCATATTTATATACTGCCTTTCTCAGCCCAAAGGTGACTTAAGGCAGTTTGCAGTCAGCAATCAATGCCCCCAACAACATAAATTCACCTGTTACACTGCATTTGCAAATGCTTGCTCAAAAAGCCAGGTTTTAACTCTCTTTCGAAATGTTAGGAGGGAGGGGGACGATATCAGATCCCTAGAGAGGGTGTTCCATAGCCAAGGGGCCACCGCTGAGAAGGCCCTGTCTCGTTCCCGCCAATCACATCTGCAAAGGAGGCGGGACTGAGAGCAGGGCCTCCCCATAGGATCTTAAGCTCCTAGCTGGTTCATAGGGAGAGATACATTCAGACAGGGCCAGAACCACGTGCAACCAAGTACAAACAGACTTGTGGGCCAGGCAAGTACATCTTTCATTCCAAAAGTTCATTTTTGTATCAGAGCACTTTACCTTTACCTTACTCTTGTAGCACTCTTGATAACAATAAGAGGTACTTGTTCTATCCTGTTTATCGATCCTACAACTTTATTTGAGATGGATCTTTATAATACCCGGATCTAGCACTTCCTAATATGCACAATGATTGTTCAGTGTAGTACAGAGAACAGGTTCTCATTCTGTATTTAGTGCCACCCTAACACTGTTTGAGTAGAAAACCTGTGCTTTTGAGTTGATATCTAAATACATTGAATAAGCCATGAAGCTTTGGATAGGGCTTCTATGCTTTCATAAAATGATTTTGCACTTTAGTGGAACACTTTCTCTCAGATGAGTGATCCAGTAAAGTAGCGTTTAATGCTTTGTTTAGCCAAAAACAATTTGTCAACCAAATTCATTTTTAATCCCATTAATGTTCATTGTATTGTTTGTAATGTACACAGGGTGTGATTCAGTGACCACTTACCCCATTGTGATCCCATCAGCTTCCCCTTGTTCAAGATCATTGAATTGATCTTTACTCAAAAAGCTGGAGTTTGCATGAAAAAGAGGAAGGTCCGGGAAGGACGGCTCTATGAGTTCTACTTTTCAGCCTGTTTTTGTGCGCAATTGTTTCTGTTCTCTGTTTTAAACCCAATATAGATGAGGATAGCCCATTACTTAAAACAGTGTAATTTTTGTGTGAAAGATTACACAGTGACCTTAAAAAATTCATTTCATTAAAGTGTACTTGTCAATCCTTTTGTTCGATCCCTTTCTCTAAACTGACTTGCTAAAATTTTGTTTCCTTCCGCTCTGGTGAATAGTGTTTCCTCTTAAACTTTAACCTTTAATCCTCTCTCACCCAACTATTGACATCTGGTCATTATTTCTTTTACTGCTTTCCACCCCCTGTTGTCAGACGGACTGTTCTGTTGTCTAAAACACTTGATAGGTGGACAGGTTTATATAATACGAGGTGAGTTCCTGTAGAGACTAATTGGATGTTGTCTTTTTCATGCAAAAGAAAGTTGCCAGCAGCAAAGCGCTCTCCCACCCTCCACCATCTTGGTTCCTGACAATTTGCATTTATGGTATTACTTTTATAATGGAGACAGATGTAATCTCTGCTTATGGATGATGGTGTTTTAAAAAAGAAAAACAGGAGAAATATCTGGATGGATAATTTTATTCCTTTGGCTTTACAAATATTCCAATTTTATGCAGAAATCCAAGAGGTAGGGAGACAAAGAAATCTCCTATTTCAGAATAAAATGTATTCCCATCTCTATCGATGCAGCATGTTGCATGTGTTGCTACAATTGTATTTTCTCAGGCAAAATGAAAAACTCTGCAAAGTGAGTTAATGAATTATAGAAGTGTCGAAGGCTTTTGTGGCCGGAATCACTGGGTTGTTGTAGGTTTTTCGGGCTATTTCGCCTGAATCTGTGGCAGGCATCTTCACAACCTCTGAGGATACTTGCCACAGATGCAGTCAAAACATCAGGAGAGAATGCTTCTAGAAAAGCGGTCCTCAGACATTTTAAGTATAGGGGCCAGTTCATGAACCCTCAGACAGTTGGGGGGGGGGGGGGCTGGCTATGGTTTGAAAAAAACAAACAAACCATGAAAGAACAATACAATATTTAAAAGGAAGAACAATTTTAACCAACATAAACGTACTAGTATTTTAACAGGAAGCATGAGCCTGCTTTTGGCTGATGAGATAGTTAAGTTATTTAGGCTCGTTGTTATTGTGTGCCTCCAAGTCGTTTCAACCTAGGGCAACCCTAAGTCTAATGTTTAGAGTGGGAGCCGTGTAAATAACCTTGGAGGGTTATATCTGGCCCACAGGCCTTAGTTTGAGGATCCCTGTTCTAGAACATGGCCATGCAGCCTGAAAAACCTACAACAACCCAATTATAGAATCATTGAGTTGGAAGAGATCTTATGGGCTATCTTGTCCAACCCCCTGCCAAGAAGCAAGGAAATCATATTCAAAGCACCCCCGACAGATGGCCACCCAGCCTCTGTTTAAAAGCCTCCAAAGAAGGAACCTCCACCACATTCTGGTGCAGAGAGTTCCACTGCTGAACAGCTCTCAAAGTCAGGAAGTTCTTCCTAATGTTCAGGTGGAATCTCCTTTCCTGTAGTTTGAAGCCATTCTTCCACATCCTAGTCTCCAGGGCAGCAGAAAACAAGCTTGCTCTCTCTATGATTAATGGTCAAGATCCAGTTGCTCCAGTGCATATATAAAACTTCACAGACAATGATGTCTCTGTTTTCTTCATTGAGCAGTTGAATATTATATTTCCTGTGGATGCAATATTTTGGATTGTGCCCAGAGTATTTTAAGTATTGTTACCCTACTTCTGAAAAGCATTATAAAGCAACGATGCTCTAGTAATATATTATTCTACCTCTTTTATATACATATTTAAATAGGCAGCATGAAGAACTTCACTCAGATGAGTTAACATCAACTTTTCAGTCCATTTTTCTTTTTGTATCTTGGCATTTTAAACGTTCACAAAACTCAACTGAATGCAGACCACATCCATGCAGAGATCTGTTTCAGCAAACATTTCATCATGTGTTCCCATGATATATCACTGCACTCTATTTCCATTTTTATTCTTACTTTATTTATGTTTATTTCAATTTTAAAGTCACCTCTTCACATTTATCAGAAAGCTCTGATACGCTTCACAGTGTTGTGGCCAGTTGTAGCTTGCTTAGTGTTAATGCTACACTTGTCTGCTTGATGCAAATAAACAAGGGGCAGTGGGTTAGAAGGATTATGAGGTATACCTTTAAGTCTACTTGATGTAAAAGAATAAAGGAGATTAAGCCAATATTTAAATCAAATATTTTTATCCTTGTCTTCACATTACTAAGTTCAGTCAATTATTCAAAACACGATATGGTATACACCATAACCTTGAAAGGTATTCTGTTGTTTTGTGATAGAAGACATCCTTTGTGGAATATATTTTCACGTATGAAATGGTTTATTTTATAGATACGTTTGTTAAGCTGACATTGCTGAATTCCATGGGTCAAGAGATGTCCAAATGCAAGACTTCCATCCGCAGAGGGCAACCAAATCCAGTCTATAAAGAGACCTTCATTTTCCAAGTGGCACTGTTTCAGCTTTCTGATGTTACACTCATATTGTCTGTGTATAACAAGCGCAGCATGAAACGAAAGGAAATGATAGGCTGGATTGCTTTGGGCCTGAACAGTTCTGGCGAAGAGGAACTCAACCACTGGACTGAGATGAAGGAATCCAAAGGACAACAAGTGTGTCGGTGGCACGCGCTGTTAGAGACTTAATGCCTCTTTGTGGCTCGACAGAATGTCAGGAATCAGGATCCAACAATGCTGCCCTTTAGGTGCAACTGACACAAGGTGTTGCCGAAATTACAAATTCAACATTCCAGTTCAACAAATGCACAAAATGCTGCAGAGCAGGATTAACTTCCACATCTTCACTAAACATCCACAGGTTTTCAGGTAAAACATACCAGACGCAGAAGGGACAGCAATCCTGAGTCCGTCTCATGATGCTTTTCAGTTTTGTTTCCCTCTCATCATGTTTAGGTTTTTCATTTAACTTACAAGTAATTTGTGTAAATCCTCTATTATTCAGAAATTCTTATATTGCGTTGTTCTCATTCTTTTAGTGGTGCTTTGCTGTGTTGTAGATTGCCTGTCAACAAGCAGTGTGAGGGAGAAAAGAGCAGTTAAATGGTGGAGCGAAACACAATGGGAGAGAAAATTTATACTCTGGGCTCACGGTAGTAGAAGTATTACCTTTTCCTCCCTTAGCAACTTAACATTTCTGACAGTTTAATTTTGAAGAACACTAGTGTCGCTATGCAAGAGCAGCCCTGCATGCTGACTGCTTATCAGACACACAAAACATCTCCTCTGCCGTGCCTGTTCGAGGCTGGAAATTATTTTTTTCCACAGTGAGCTAAAATTGTTTTCAAATGGAGATAGCTGTTCATGGTGTGTATACACATCTGACTCTTTCCCTTGATAAACCAGACGTTTGGTGTTTCTTCAAAAGTTTACGAAACTGGCTTGACCAGTGAAAAGTGACTCTCATTTTGGGAGCCATTTATGCATGGCTTCATTGGATCTTAAGGAAATCTTCTCCCGGTGCTGGCATTCATCAGATTTTCCTTAACTCCACCATTAGAACAGCATCCCTTTTAGGTCATGAAATTATGACTTTTCACCTTTCTGGTTGTTTGAAGCCAAAATTGAAAACATAAGGATCCAAATACAGCTATGTATCGTTGAAGGCTTTCATGGCTGGAATCCTTGGGTTGCTGTAGGTTTTTCAGGCTATATGGCCATGTTCTAGAAGCATTCTCTCCTGATGTTTCACCTGCATCTATGGCAGGCATGCTCAGAGGTTGCCTGCCATAAGTGCCTTGTGAAATGTCAGGAGAGAATGCTTCTAGAACATGGCCATTTAATCCAAAAAATCTACAACAACTCTGCTCAGCTAGTTCCCTATTAGAGCTTGCATTTTTGTCAGTAGCTTTTCCATGTTTTGGAAGTGATGTGCTTTCAAATGAAAAGCTTCTAGTGATACCAGACAAAAGAGAGCTAGCACCTTTCACTCTCCAAGAAGTTATCTCTAGAAAGAAAACAAACGAACAAAGTTTAAAAAGTAAGAAATGGAGGCTAACATTGCCTAACTGCGATACTGTTCTGAGACAGAAGCCTCATTTGGAAGCATCCTGAAAGCTATTTTAGAAGTAGTCTGAGATATGAAATAAGAGCTGAGTTTTTCAAAGAGAAAAATGAAAATGTTTGACTGGGTGAACATGAGTAGCTGGGCACAGTCCAAGAGGCATGTAAACCATAACAAATCAAGCATGCAGTAACTTTCTAGCAAGTGCCTCCCGTGGAAACCAGTTGCATTTTTTGGTTAGCTAACAGAAAACAGACTACAGCTCATAGCTTTATGAAAGGTTTCTTTAACTAAATCCATAGATGATTTGAAGTGTTCATTGTAAATGTTTAGAAATGCAGAGATAGTGAAGGTTAAGAATTAAAACATTTGGGAACAAGGATAGCCTACAAAGTTTAACCCCAGCAATGCAATGTACTAAGCATCCTTGTTGCTTTTGTAAGTGTTGTTATTGCCACCACTGGCATTATCATTTGCAATGCCATCATCATTTTGCCTTGGAAGACAGCAACATTTTGGATTTTGAGATCTGAAGTATACAGGAAAATACTCTAAGGGTGTATCTACACTGTAGAATGAATGCAGTTTGACACCACTTCAACTGCCATGGCTCAGTGGTATGGAATCATGGGAGTTGTAGTTTGGTGAGGCACCAGTATTATTTATTTATTTATTTATTAATTTACACTATTTATATTCCACTCTTCTCAGAACATACATATGCAGCAAACTTTCAATGGCATTTTATATACGAACAAGAAAGACAATTGTACATAGAAGTATATATTGGCTTTTCCCGTCTTCGGCATGTTGGAGGCTTTGTGCTCCATTCCGGCCACTGGGTGGGGGGGGGGGTGCTGTTGCTCCATGTCTCTGCCAAAGAGCTTTGTTCATAAACTTTCCTCCTTTTGATTGAGTTGTCAGCATTCCTTATGGGTGCCTCAGAATACCTCCCAGTGTTTAAGTGGTACCTATTTATCTACTCACATTTGCTTTCAAATTGCTAGGCTAAAGGCCAGGAGCTTACCCTGACTCGCACTTCAAATTGGCAGCCTTTTGACTGCCAGTACTCTTTGGCAGAGAAAGCAAAAAGCCATGTAAAACTACAATTCCCATAATTCCACAGCATTGAGCCAGGGAAGATAAAGTCGTGTCAAACTGCTTTCATTTTATAGTGTTGATGAATCCTAAGAGTATTTCACCTCAAGGGCCCTTGCAATAAACATATATATCTTCACAACTTTCTGTTTCAAATACAGGGTTCAGGGATGGTTTCTAGGGCCCCATCTACACTGCCATATTGGAACTGGATTATAATGGTCAGTGTAGACTTATATAATGCAGATTGAACTTCATTGAAGTGGATTATATGAGCCTACACTGCCATATAATCCAGTTCAATGCATTTAATCTAAATTTGAAACAGCATTATATGGAGTGTAGATGGAGCCTAAGTTAAAGACAGGCGGTCATTTCCTTTCCTTCAGAACACAGTTGGAATCATGATTAAAAAAATCAACATAAAGAAATATTGTATATTATTTCTACCTGAGGTTGAAATAGGTATCTATTGTAAGCATAGCCAGAGTTCAAGTTCCGATTTCTGGACAAAGGGAGACTGCCAAAAATAATCTTCTTGTTTATTTAAAAGGAAGTGATTGAAAAGCACATGTTTATTACTTTAAAGTCTTCACTATGCGATTGAATGCCACTACATTTGATATGGATACATATGCATTGAAGGATGTGTAATGTTCCCAATCTTAACAACATCCTTAAAAAATTCCAAGCTGTTGTCTTGAAATTGTTATTCAGTGCCTTTCACGTTTCACTACTTAAATTTGTAACTATAATGCAATGCTGAATTGATTGATTTTGAAGATTTACAAAATGAATTTTCCTCCCTGTGTTGCATGAAGCGTAAGGCACAAGAACTGTCATTTTATTTTGTTTTTTAAACTATTCAGGAATCTTTGCAAACAGAAATATTGTTAATATAAGTACAATATAGTACATTCTCTTCCATTGTTTCTTGCTCATTTTACCATACATCCTTATACTGAGTCTTCACCTGTATTTTATGGTTCAGAAATCCTCAATTTAACACATTTTGGTTAAGATGGAGATGCTTGGGATTTACTGCTATATCTGCCTCTGCAGTTCCAAGCATCCTTGTCATAAGCTAAAGCCTAAATTCAGCTGTTTGACCCCACTAGAATAGGCCCATTGTATCAATGGAAACTTGGTAAGCCATCATTTTTGCAAGTTCCATTGAGCCAACAGTTCTACTGTACTTGGGACTAACAATTGGATTTAGGACATCCTACTGTTATTGAACTTTATGAAGCTTAGTTCTGAACAAACAGGTTTGGGACTGGGCTGTAAGACTTGCACTCTCATAGTGCCTTGAAGACTGGGATATGGATTTGTGCAGGGAAGTAACTGATCAGTGAATGATGGCTTCAAGAAAATGTTCCTAATTTTTCAAATGTATTACTGTGTTTGTTACTATGATTCAGGAGACTCCTCATTCAAAAAGTTGCCTCACCAGAGTTGTACCTCTGTATATGTTTCTTCTCTTTCAAGTACAGTATCTCATAGATACAGCTAATGAGTAATTCCGCTGGAAGGCGAGATAGAAGCGAGCTATTTTTAAAAAGATGTTTTTTGTGCAATGATCTGTCACATTAATACCTACCCTAATTTTCACATTGGTTGCCTTGTTTGGAAATGACCTTGTACACATAAGTAGTTCTTTGCTGGTTTATGACTCTAATAAATCTTTGATTTGGTTTGACATAAATCATTGGATGAGATGAGAAATTTAAATCTTCTCCTAGCTTTCTGTGGGATTATTTTGCGTATACAAACTGAAGGTTCGGCATTTTTGTATCACGAGATTACATTTACTGAAAAGAAAAGTGTTTGGGAATGTATGTGGGATGTTCTTAAGGAAATTCAAAAAGTCAGACTGACAGAAGATCCTACCAACTCTATACTTGTGTTTGTATAATAATCATTACATATATTTTTATGGTATTATTTAGGATTATATATTAGGGGTTATCTCCAACAGTGGCATTCTGTTGACAAAAAGCTCTTTGATACAGAAGGTTACATGACTAAAACAGGAAGGGAAGCAATCACACACATGCAAACACCCACAGTGGATTAGAGAAGGTTGGGGAACCCTTTGGTATTCAATAATGTGGAAGGTGGTATTGGGGAATGCCAATTATGGAGAAATTGGCAAAAATGATCTTGCTACCCATTTCACCTATATCAGATTCACCTACATTAAGAAGTGTGGTTGAACAAAGTGAAAATTGTGAAAATACAAACACATGGAAGGTTTGGAGTGTGCTGGGGGGGGGGGGGAGATAGGGACAGCCCGAAGTACAAAATGGAATTAGAACTGGGAAGGAGAGCCTTCAGACTTAGTCATGGGTACTATTACCAAGCCCTAAATAATAAAGCAAAAACCTGCTTTTCATGGGTTCCTTTTGAGTGTGTGTGTGGAGAGATCATGTCATGATCTGGTGCTGCAGTGACTCTCCAGATCTAGTAGAGGCCTTCTTTGCTATTCGTGATCCTTTTAAATGGACAGGATCTTCTGTACTCAAGGTTTCTGATTTGCTCTAAAGCTCTTAGTCCTTCCATAAAAGACACACTCTCAAAGAGCAATAAAACACAGGATGGCAGATATTACTGCTCTGGAGAACAAACCATATGAGGAGAGACTTAAAGAGCTGGGCATGTTTAGCCTGAAGAAGAGAAGGCGGAGAGGAGACATGATGGCCATGTATAAATATATGAGAGGAAGTCATAGGAAGGAGGGAGCAAGCTTGTTTTCTGCTTCCCTGGAGACTAGGATGCGGAACAATGGCTTCAAACTACAAGAAAGGAGATTCCATCTGAACATTAGGAAGAACTTCCTGACTTTGAGAGCTGTTCAGCAGTGGAACTTTCTGCTCTGGAGTGTGGTGGAGGCCCCTTCTTTGGAGGCTTTAAAACAGATGCTGGATGGCCATCTGTTGGGGGTGCTTTGAATGCAATTTTCCTACTTCTTGGCAAGGAGTTGGACTGGATGCCCATGAGGTCTCTTCCAACTCTATGATTCTATGGTGAAAGCTGGAGAATAACTCTATGGCTAAGCTATAGAAGCCTAGTTCTGGGGAAAAGATAGTTATAATTAAGCCAAATTTAAAAAAAAATTGAGAAAAATAGTTGGATTCAGATGTTCCATTTCCATTCTATGACTTGATTCTTTGCCACCAGCATGCACTGATATCTAAATAAATTCCAAAGCTATGCAACTTGGCCTACAATCACACTCCTAGGTCAATCAAAAGAGTGATCACCATCTACAAGACCTTCCAACTCAGCAGTTTGTCATGAGCATTTGAAAAATACACATGAGCCTCTGCTCACCATATCGAAAAAAGAATCCCAAGGCATCCAAAACCCATTGAAATGACTGAAGTACCTACCAATCCCTAGGTAACTCATTATATAAGAACTTGAATCACTGCTTTGAGCCTTTCCTTCAAAGACAAATAAGAATGTAATTGCTACACTTAGAAGAAAACAGAACTCCAACTTTCTCCTTTCACACATAAAGTAGTAATCTCTGGGTAAATTTCATACAATAGTTTAATCCAGAGCAATGAACTCACACCTTTATCTGATTCATGAACCTAGTACGTTTTCTCTCCTACTTGCAACAGTTCCTCCAGAACCCTAAAAATGCTCAGGTAGCAAAGTGACTTTGGCCAGCCCTGGATCTACTGAAAAATATCATCATATGCAGTTGTCTTTCCACATTTGCAATCTGCACTTTAGGAGATTTGATTATTTACAAATTGGATTTAAAATGTTCTCTCTTTATTCCTCCAGGGTGACTCTATGGTCAACTTCCCCTAGGTATGCTGGAGGACCTAGATGTTTCTGGAGAGAAGATCTCTCTAGAAATCTCTAGATGTTCCAATAGGATTCTATGGTCACCTTCCAGTGGAAGTTGACCATAGAGATGTGCTGTAAAACTAGACATTCTCTCAGGTAAAATACATTTCTTTATCTGTGGTTCTTCACTTTCATGGGGGATGCTGTGCCCCTATCCCCAGCTTTTCCAAACATGTTACTATACTTATTTCATAAATGTACAGGTTAAATGCTATAAAGAGCTGTAAAGGAGACATTTGTAGAAGGGGAAGGGGAATAAAATAGTTATTAGAATATTACTATTTTTTAAAAAAAAAATAGCTTGCCTTTTTGGTAGAGTTAGCCAGAGACCGAGAAAAAAAAAAAGAAAATCCCCACTCGCTGTTCTTCTGGACCAGGTGTATGATGATATGCTGTACTGAAGCATACATAGGTCAGGCATTGGTCAAGAATATAGTGACGTGCAACCTATATGAATACTTCTCAATGCAAATGCAAGGCTGTTACATTTGCACCCCTTGGGCTGTACACAGCAGAACAGGTGCTCAATAAACCCCAGTGCTTTTCTAGCCTGCTTTAAACCGCAAAGAAACACATTTTGGAACTTCAAAACCAGGGGGATTCATTAAGCACCTGCCATGTTGCAGTATGCTAAAATGGTGTGCTGCATATAGCCAAGAGGGTCACAGATTTCACAGGCTTACAATGTGGCGTATTAAATTTCATTGTCGACAAGGACAACATTCATGAGCACAAATCAAATGAAGAATGAACAGAAGTGCAGCCACTCTTACTGGTTTCCAGTACCAAGTGTGAATTCCAAGCTGCATAAATGAGCTGCCTAAGGAAATCGATTAACAAAACTTTCTAAGAATGCCGTTTTGAAAGACTGCTGATCCTGAATCAAGATTTCTAGAGTCTCCAGAAGTCCTTGACCACACTTCTCTATGATCTTCTTTGAGAACATCTCTAATGAGTCAGATATTCAATATGGACAGCGCTCCATTTCAGGAAGAACAGTTTAGCCATATGTATAAGGTGTTGCTTTGTTGCATGACACAGACAGAAACTGTATGGATACAATTTTAAAACACCTGTGCTTATAACATTTTCCTTCCACATTTGAGTTGCGACGTTTGTGGATCTGATAATTAATGGTTTTACTCCTTCTAGGAAACTCTAGGACCGCCCATGGACAACTTCCAGCAGACGTCAACCACAAAGACGTACTGGAAAATCAAGAAATTCCTAGATAGGTGTTCTCTCTGATAAAAGCAATAGTAATTCTTTATTGCCATGTTTAACTTTCTTGGGCGTCCTGTGCCCCTAATGACAGCGAAATGTAGAAGGCTGTACTCAAGTATGTGCAAAATTTCTCATTTGTGTGAACATTATATAGAATCTTTTCATGTAACCAATGTACATGTCCCTAGTTTAAGAAACCAACGGAACACCTTTGTTAGGGATGAGGAGTTCCTTATTAGCATCATTGTGTTGACAATAATTATCCTCTCTTTCTGAGATAATTACAGTACGATCCTCATATCAGCAGGACCAGTATCCATGGTTTCATTTATCCATGTTGGACAAAATATATCCCCTCTAGGCATTTTCTAGGTCTTCCAGTGTAACCTTATGGTATTCTTGGTCCAAAGGTCCTTTATTTCAATAGGGTGTGCTAGTAGCCATGGTTTTGTGTATTCAGCAGAAGTCCAATACACATGGGATCCTACTGTGCTTTTATCTGATCCCAGGTAGAGTGGCTTCCTTTTTACTAAACTGATGCTAAACATAAAGCTACTAATTTAAGCAGGACAATA